GTCTAAGGAAATACAGATGACCAGAGGCAGAGCTGTTAGCACACAGATGCCTGGTGGCAAAGCCTTGTAATTTTATTTTTTTTTCACCCAAGGATATATTTACTAATTTTAGAGACAGAGGAAGGGAGAGAGAGAGAGAGAGAAAGAGAGAGAGAGCCCGTGCAATATGAAAGAGAAACAAGGATTGGCTGCCTCCTGTATACACCCCAACCTGGGATCGAACTCGCAACCTTTCTAGTGTAAGCGATGCTCCAACCAACTGAGCCACCGGGCCAGGGCCAAAGCCCTGTAATTTTAAACCACTACTACAGAAAAAGTAGAACAAGGAAACATAATCAGCCCTGTCCGGTCATCTGCAGGTTACATATTGGTGCATGGCCTTCCTCGGCCTATGGGTGTTTGTACAGTTGAGCTCCTGCTGGGCGTGCTGAGTGTTAAACAAAATTAACACAGGAGACTCATAGGTCCTATATAAAAGGAAGGTGGTGGAAGAAGACGTTTGATGACAGATAACTTCTCCTATAGGCACCCCCATATTCCAAAATTAATAATCAGACATAAAAATTCTTTGAAATTAAAACAAATTTTAATTCCATATTGTAGCCAGATTGGGGCAAGAGACAAATGTTAGGAAGGAGAATAAGAAAAGGAAAATGAAGAAGGAAGAAAGTCAACAATACCGGCCCCCAACATATGACAGAACAAGGAGTAAAGAAGTCAAGAGCATTGGCTCTGGCGTCCTCACCCTCTACCCGGAGTTTTCCCACCTGCAAAGGGCACATGATAATAGTCCTGACTTTATGGAGCATTTGGAAGGACTATATTAGCGAATAGACAGGAAGTTAGCATGAACTGCAAGCTGTTTTTATTGTCATGTCAATTTGGGGGAGAATGTTCACTCTCTTGATATAAAATATGGTTAAAATCGTCTAGGATTTATTTAAAATATTTCTATTCCCATCTAAAATATGGATGTTCAATGCGTTGTTAAAATCTTATTTTTATTATAAAAATCTTTGTTCATATTTAGTGTTCTTTGAGATACAAATGTCAGGCTTAAAGGTAGACATGAGACTAAACTAAACATGCAGATTATTTTCCCTGCCTCATAACTGGAGTGACAGGAAAGGCGAGAGCATCAGGGGCACCTGGACCAGACAGGGATGCCATCAGGAGCCCCTCCTCTCTCTCCGGGCTACCTCTGCTCAGGGGTCCCCTCTTTCCTCTTACACAGCTTTCTCCATGTGGCAGAAACAGGGCCACTATGTGAATATCCTCAGGCCTGGGCGCTCATGATCCTGGCTCTCTGGTAGGCGAGCAGAGAGAGCTTTCTGGGAGTTAGGTCATCTGGCTGGGAAAGGGTCCATCCTGGCCTGAACTAGCCTATCATGTGCCCTTCCTGATCTCTGTGGCCTGGGAGATAGGGTGCTGTGAGGAGTGGCCAGCCTGCCCTGCCTCTGTAGCCAGTGAAGGAGAGGTAATATGACCAGGAGCCCCCGCAGAAGCTCCTGGGCCTGGGGAAAGTAGTTCCCAAAGAAAGGAAGTTTCCATCCATAACTTCTTTCTGTGATGGGCAGAAGGGGGCATGGAGCTGACAGAAGCTGATAGGTAGATGGGATGCAGAAGGGAGGGAGCAGGTAGGGAGAGCATGAGAATGGACAGATGGAGCTTTGCTCATTTTGTGAAGGGGCAGATGTTGATGCCTTGAGGAAGGAATGCCCTTCACTTTGGCGTGGTAGTTCCTCTGGGAGTCCTGGGACTGTCGGTGCAAAGGGGTAGTTTGTCACCTGGTACACACAGGGGATAGATCCTGGAACTTGCTCCCTAGACTGCATGACATTCAGCCCATGGTTTGTTTCCAGCCTCTGGTCTTTGTGATCCACCACAAAGATTTTAGTTCTGTTTGGGGGATGGCTGTGCTATGAAGGGCAATTTTAAAAAATGAAGAATCACAGTCATTTCTAACTACATCTAAGATGCAAAGAGAAAATCCCTCTTATGGATCGTATCCATCTCTCTATGTTATACATTTTCCTTTTTGTCGTTGTTGCTGTTGTTTGATTTTTCCTGAAGAATGTCATGTGCTTTAGACTTCTACGTATTCTAAATCTCATTTAAAAAGTGTTAAATCAAGAAAGTCTGCCAGCTCCCTCCCTTTGTTTTCTCTCCATATTGGACTGCTCTGGCAAAGGAGAGTAATATTACCTTACCATGTAAAACATGGCTAATGGCTTTAAAAGAATTCCCCAGCAACTGAATAATGGGCTGCCAAAAATATTCTTGGTGCCAAAGGATCTGAATATGTCTGTACCATTTATTGTGCATTTCTCCTTTCATCATGACTAAGTGCTCACAAAAGACATAAAGACTTAACCCTCTAGGGTATGTGCCATTTGAGGGCAGAAACCATATTTTAATATATTCAGTTTGGTACCTAACATATTGCGATGCTTACCAGATTATCAATAGCAAGCAATGATGGATGCCTGTGGTACATAGGATGCTCAAATTATCAATTAAATTGATTTCTAGTGACCAGAATGAAGTTGTTTCATTGTCTGTATTATGCTTGGTTGGGTGCCTTAATGTTTATTCTAAGGATTTCTGGAAGTCTTGCACCAAACACTTATAACTTGTTCTGCCTGCATGAATAAGTTTACGTTTCTCGGCAATAAGATAGAACCTATTTCTTAATTAAAGCTTCAGGATCTAGAAGTCTGATAGTGCAATATAGCAAAGTCATTTACTTTTGTTTTATTTTGATAATAAATCTAGTCTATTAAAAAGAGGTTTTCTTAAAAATTGTGCTTAAAATTAATTTAGGAATATACTGAAGAAAATCTAGGAATATGCAAATGTAGAAAAATTTAAAAGGTGCTTTGTTTCTCACTGAAAGTAAGAAACGTCAAGAAAAGTAGCATCTAAGCCCACTCTCCTCCCACCCGCACCCCACCTTCTCCTGGAGCCTTCCCACTTGGTCTGTGCTCAGAATGTCTGGTTCTCACTTGGCAGGAGACTCAATCTCTCCTGCTTCTTAATTTGGGCCAGGCAGTTGCCAGCTGCCCTGGAATACAATGTGGTTTCTGAGTCAGGTATGTATTCTTCGCCAGTCTCTTAATTGCTAGGCTCTTAGGGGACTAGAGTCATCGTCTTCAAAGAAATCCTGAAATAGAGATTCTTAATTGTTTTGCATGTGACTCACAGGATAGATAACATTCAGACGGGGTACACTCACTTGGGCTCAGAGCCATCGGAAAATCTTGAGTTGATTAACTAAAATTCCATATCATTTACTCCTGTTCAGCAAAGTGTATTGGAATTTAGTTAGATAAGAGTGACTTGATCCAAGCAGGTAAACCCGCATCTGCTTTAAATTTGTGTGTATGTGTGTGCGTGTGTGTGTGTGTGTGTGTGTGTGTGTGTGTGTGTGTTTGTCTAATTCCTATCTGATATTTAGTCCTTTATTATTTATGAATAATTATCTAAAATGCTCTATCATAGCCAAGGAGTATGGGGAAGCAGCATGTTTGTGCTCTCTTGGGACTAGTTGAGTCCTCAAAAAGGAAACTACTACTGCATAATCTCCCATCTTTCCAGAAAGTCTGCCTCATGTTTAGGAGACACTGAGTGGCCACCTGATGCTAAAGCCTGTGAGGCAGAGTTCTCAAGAAAGACATATAAGCACCTAGTTCATTGTAACTTTAGGAAAAGAAGCAGGGTAGCTTTTCAGCTGCCCCTGGAGACCAGTGCTGAATCTACCACTTCCTGTTTGCAGAACTAAATTGTACAGAAAGGCAGTAATTATCTGCTGTGATTATCAAGCAACTAGTACAAAGCACAACATATAAATTTAGGGATACATGGGTGTTTACTTGAAATAGTAACTGAAATTAAAATATTTTTGCAACTGACTGGACATCATGAAAATGTAAAACTATGAGTTAAGCACAAACCCTTAATTTTTATATAAAAACATTTTTTATACTCAGCTGTGTTTTATGGAGTTGGATATACTACTCTTCAAATCATGCCACTTAAAGTAGCATTTATGCATTCAGGATATTTCTGGTTAAAATATTTAGCTTAAAACATTAAATGTTAATCCTGTGTTTCAACCCTAGTGAGACAGAGGCATGGGGCATAATGAGTTGGAAATTCAGAGTATTGTTTGTGGAAGAAAAAGTTTTACTCTACCCTTTTAGGTTCCCTGGCTGGTCTAATGAGCATAATATAAATTAACAGGAGAAAAATCAATTTAATTTAATAAAAATGGGCATTCCAAAGTATGAGGCTCCCAGATAGTCAGGCAATTGGTATAGGCATGAGAGTTCACAGGGTAGAAGGCCATTCATGGGGGGCAGAGAAGAGAAAATGTCAGTTAAACAAATGCAGAGAACTCTTTCTGATGTTCTCTTTGGTGTAGCTCTTTTCCTGGTATAGGCACCTGTATCTAAACTACTTTAGTCAGTTAAGGGGGAGGTAAAAAGAAAAACTTCCTATAATCTCTGTTTCTTACAAATAATTAGCCTAAAATAATCCTCATGATAAAGAGATACATTTTGGGGTGGAAAATTTTGCTCCCCTACAGTGTCCTCTAGCTTTCAACATGCTACACAAAAGTAAAAGTTGAATTTTAGAGAGTACGGGTTACAATAAACTGTTTAATTATTTTAGTCAGGAGAGTTTTGCTCATATTATTCTGAACCAAATGCAGATGTTTAGAGAATGAGTTAGTGGGCTACTGCCTTACCACAGGTAAGTGAGGTACAGATTTGTCTCATTAACTCTGGATGTAGAATGTGCTCTAAAAGGCCATCTGGGGTCTAGAAGAAAGCAGTGATGCATCCTAGGGGAAACAAAGTCTCCACTTAAATTTAAAACAAATTTTAAATTTTAAAACAAATGCCTAGCAGAGTGTGCAAAACAAACAAACAAAACCACAGGACAAGGGTATCAGAATACTTGATGTGCACTACTTATGTTCCTTTCTTCTCTTGCAGGCTCCACGTGGGAAAAGACATTTCGGCAGATTGGCTTTGAAAGGTAAGCAGGGTTTAGCATGTCTCCACTTTTAGCGTACGAATGTCCTATTTTATTCTAAGTACTTTATGGATTATAAATCAATGGTATCGCTACCACTACTTCGGTAAGTGAGTAAGTTTGTGCCATTGAGTAAGTCATCATTTTGCTCCTTGAGACTTGGTTTCTTTGTAAAGTAGAGCTTTGCCTTATAAAATCTTTGCCTGAATGCAGAGTGAACTTGAAGATTAAATGGAGCAAGTTTTTTGAAAACACTTCTTAAACTGCAAACCATTATAAAAGGTAAGTTGTACAGTTAGAGAATTAAGAATTAGAGTCTACTTTCTTATAGGTTATTCACCTCTTCTGTTAGTTCTATAGTTTTTGTGCAGAGAAATTTATATTTATATTGATGTCTTTCCAATTATTAAAATGATTAGATATTAGCTCTAAGTGAAAGGTTGAGATCACATCATGCCTAAGCATTTCTGTTGTCAATGGAAATTGGGCTGATCGCAAAGAAAGAATTCCAAACACCCACACATGGAGATTGTGGTGTGGTGGCCTGGTTTATTTCTGATGTAATATCAAAAGAGTTTTCTTCCTGGCTTCCCAAGGTCCTATGGCTGTCTGTGCTGCCATGGAAAAAGTACAACCGTGTCTTCAACAAGGCCAAGGCCAGTGCCCAGAGTTTCTGCTTCATAGCCCTTCAGAGCCTGCACAGTCTGCCAAGGGCCCCAGTGGCCACTAGAGCCGCATGGTCGGTGCTCCTGGGCTGGAGAACATATGATATGGTCCAAAGGGTGAGAGTGCAGATCACTGAGCAAGGGAGAAATGAGCTTCTTTTTCGCCTGGAATTATGTACTCTCAGGCTTGGGAGGAACCAGAAGCTTCTTCAAAATAACCAATCAGCTTCCCAAACTGTATGTGTTGTTGGGGGTGGGGGGTGAGGCCGGGGAGGGGAGGCAGCTTACATTGGCTCCGCCCCCCCAGCCAATGATTTTTTTTCCAGGTTAGACTGACAGGCCTGTATGCTTAAGTACCGCCCGCTTGTGATATTGCTTAGGTCCTTATTTCCCCCTGCCTAGTTTCAATGACTAATATTTTTACACGGAACCACGCTGAATTCTTGAATTATAGATCTCTTCTGTTTTGTGTTGTTTCATTTGCTCTATTCCTATATCTCTGAGGATAGTCCCAAACTCAAGTTTTATTGGCTGTTCTCATAGTATGAATATTTTAAATAAATCCAGACAGCATAAACTCCATATTATAGTGCCTCCCTAAAATGTGTATGTTTCCTAAAATAGATGTACAAGTGAAAATATTACTAAGGAATCTATTAAGGGATATGCTTTGTTTTTAAACTGCCATCTCAGTTTGGTGAGCATCGTGATTTTTAGATATTATGTTAAAATGTTATCCTGTGACTTTCCATGTTGCCCCATGTTTTCTCATTCAAGGGCAGAGAGTATTCTCTGTGTTGCATCAACTCTCTTAAAATACAGAGCAGATACTGATCTGTGGGGTTATTGTGCAATTATTGTTGCAAAGACTGTATTAAGCAGTGCTGTCAAATATGGCTCTGCTGTTTTTCTTCTCAAGTTTAACCTCTTCTTTATCTTAAAGGGAATTTCAATTATATCTTAAATGAAGCTCTCTGATTCTTTAGAGCCGTTGTAAGAGATATTGATTCTTTCCTCGCTTTGTCCTTTGAAGTTTGCTAGCAGATTATTTTAAAGTGGTCACATCTAAAGGAAATGCAGTGACTGAGTCAGCTAAAGCTTCAACACTTTCTGCAAGGATAAGAAAGCAAAGATGTCCTCTGTTGTACATTTTGTAACTGAAAGGAAGACCTAGGGATCTGCCCTCCCCGTCTCCTTGTAGTAATGCTTGCCATGAGATGATGGTGTTATAGCCCTTCGCTTCCTGGAAACTTTGTGATTATATGCATTGCTTCAGAATAAATACACATTGTCACAATTTATATGGCTGAATTCATGACAGTAGGTTATGTTCACCTTGAAAAAAATCATCCTAGTCCCCAGTGGGGTATATCAGGAATTTACAGAGGAAGGATATAAATTCCTATATCTTCATTGTTTCCACTTCTAACACCCCCACCCACTCCTGGCGCTCCAATGTTGATATCTACACAACAAAAGAAGACTCAGTTGTATGGTGTTATTTTATTTTTATTATAGAGAAAAATATCTGTGTCTAACCTATTTTCATTTCAATTAGAAAGCTTCACTTTCTGTGCAGATTTCCTAAGCTTACAAGTATAAATATTTCCAAATCATATTCATTAATCTTGGTTAAGGCAATGCAGGTGGGCATTGCTTTGTAAATTCATCAATACTCAGTATGTTCTGAAAAAGTGTGTCTGCTAGGGAATGGCCCAATTTTCAGTGCTTTTTTTTTTTTTCTCACTTGTGCGAAATCTGATGAGGAGGCTGAACAACTGCAGAGCAGCCTCTACATGGTGTGTCAGTGTTTGGCTTCAATCTCTCTCACTTCTCTCTCCACATGATGCTTCTGAGTTTGCCTGAGGGTGGGAGGAGAGGTGGGAGAATTGCACGCTAATTCTTAAGTGTTTCCACCCTGCAGTGGCAGCTCACAGTTCCTGGCCCACAGCAAGTCACCTTGCTAATTTGTAGGGAAGGAGAGGTGTTGCTCTGCCATGCTTGCAGGAAGGGCCAGGAAGTAGAATATCAGAAAGCTGTAGTAGGATCTATCACATAAGCTTCGCGTAAGGCCTGAATGTGGTTTTCTCTTTCCCAAGCTACACTTTTCATCTGAGACAAAATGTGTCAGCAAAGACATAGATAGGCTTATGCGTAGTCACCTGCGACCAGAAATAAAAGTTTCTGCTTTCTGGGAAATCTTATTGCTGCCCAGTTAAAAATAACAATCTTTCACTGATCTCTCATCCATTTGTAGTTAAAAAGCAATGAAGTTATTCCTAATAAATCTATATAATCAGCACAGTACCTCAGATTACATCACTGTTAACAATATTATACATGATTCTATTTGATACTCTACTTGGATTGTGGAATGAAATATCTTGCCCCTGCAAAGAATATGTTAAAATAGAAATCACCCTGAAAACAGCCTGCTCTGGGGGAACACAAATACTCCCCCCCTTCACCCCCTTGTGTAGACGTCATTCAAAAGGCAAGGCCTTGTCTTTAGGGGGCTGAGAAGCTTCCCACAGTCTGTCTGTTGTTGGGCTTGTCTTCCTGCATCCATTTTGTGGGGAGCTGCCACCCATGCTTCAAGCTTTAGACATGATTGCTTTTGTGGAAACTTTCCTGATGACTTACTTCTAGGATCCCACCTCTTCTTGTCACATTTTTTTACATTTTTCTGTTCTGGTCCTGGACATATGGTATTGAGACTTTCCTCCTGTGTTTCTACTCCTTTGGGGCATGAAGGATGGGGCTGTGCTGATCCCCTGGTGCCCGACACTGCCTGGCATGTGCTAGCTAATCAGACGTTTGGTGGGTGCCTGACTGAGTCCTTGATGGGACGCGTACACAAATATGGTTGGAGTGTGCTTGTGAAAGAGGGGGCCTCTGAGGAAGGCAAGAGCCCAGGGCCACCATCTTTTCATTGTCACATTGCAGCCCCTGGTGGGAGGATGGGCTGCTGTAGCCAGAGCTGGCTCATCCTTAACAGTGTAGGGAGGAAGACGCAGCTCTAGTCTGTCAGTGGGAACAATTGTTTAATTCAATGACCCTCATGTCAACAATAGAGTCTTCCTGAATCTCTCTTCTCAAACTTCTGAGTCTAATGTTCTGAGTTTGACACCAGCTACTCTCTATGACAGGATCCCTGTGGCATCAAGAACCTGGTGAGGAGTTCTAGACCAGAATCAAACCTGGGACCCTTTGTCCCACAGGCTAACGCTCTATTCTTTTCCATGTGAACAACTGTAAACCTATTTTTGCTCCACCCTATATATTGGACCGATGCTTCTGAGGGCATCTTTTGACCTCTAGTGCCAGTCCAAGGATTGGCAAATAATAGGCATTTAATAAATGCTTGATAAATGAATGGCATTTTAAATAAATATTACTGTCATTTATCTGTTGGCCCAGCTCCTACTTTCATTGAATATGCTTTTTTTTTGGATAAATTTTAGTTTCTATTGGCCTTTTCATTTGGAGGATGAATAGATTCCTTGGGTAATTTAAGGCCAATTATTACATAACTAGAAGCCCATTGCACGAAGATTTGTGCAATAGGCCTTTCTTCCCCGGCCTGCCGGTACCCGGGACCCAGGCCTTTGGTCCGGCCACAGCGGAGAAGCCAAGCCTCTTTAGTCTTCAGTCTTCAGTCTTCAGTCTTCACTCCGACCAGAGCCTTCAGTCTTCGCTCGATGCCTGCGTATGCAAATTAACCGCCATCTTTGTTGGGTTATTTGCATAGTTGCTCTGATTGGCTGGTGGGCATAGCAGAGTGACACCAATTTGCATGTTTCTCTTTTATTAGTGTAGACTAGAGGCC